CTCCGATCGATCAGCCACCGATCGGTTGATTTCTGTGGAATATACATCATATATGTTGATCAATGCCTTTTATTGCTGATCACAAAAACCGATCACCCGCAGCTCGTACTTTGCAGTACGTCAATTTGTCAATTTGTAATTATGTCCTGTTTTTTTTTTTTTTTTTGTACGTTGTACAAGTAAAGGAATGGAAATTTGGATAGATTTTGTTTTTTTCCAATCTAATTAATCAATGAATCAAAGAATTAATTGACTAGTTCATCGATTATTAAATTAATCATTTCTCTGAAAGTGAAAAATGCGCAGCTGATACATGTGATCGGGATCAGTATTGGCCAATCTTACTCATGGACGGTATCGGCATACAGTATACGTATAGAGGACGATGTACCAAATGACTACAAATCAACCCAGTGAAACAATTTATCCAGTCAAGTACACAAACATCAATAGCATCAAGTGCCGTTGTCATTAAATGAAGCAAGACCTCTAATTCCACATCATATGATCATTTTTATCCACATTATTATTATTGTAGTTACATGAAGGTTTCTGGACACCAAATGCTTGAGGTTATGATTTGATGCTTTTTTTTTTGTTGCCCTTTATAGTAACATAATTTAAAAAAAAAAAACCCTCCTCTCATGCATGTTGTATTTACAGCGTGACTCTCGTTGTAGCATGCAGGCGACTGTGTATGTATGTAAATGTGTGTGCATGTGTGTGTGTGTGTAGCAGGAGTGGGCACACATACAGCTTTCTTTTTTAAATTTGGTTCTTTGATTAGTTACAAATATTTGAAGAGGAAAAAAAAAGTGTTAAAGGTAGAGCGAAAATGTTCATTTTATTAGCAATTCAAATTGTACAAGTAAATGAATGATTTAATGATCAATGAATTCAATTAATATTTCCCCCCACCCCCACCACCACTAATCACTGCCTGTCTCACTACTCCTGTTCTGTCGACCTAATATTTTCGATAGCGCTTGCTCATCATTAGGGTAAAGGATGAGCGAAAGCCGATCCCAGTTGATGTGGATACACCCTGAACTGGTCGCCAGCCAATCACAGCCTGGCCTATCCCGCCGTATTCTATTTGAGACCGCTTTGATCAAAATTAAGACCTTACAACACACACAATCTTCTTCATTCCAGAGATATTCCATGCTGCTATCGTTAATCCAAGTTTTCTCAGAATGTACAGTTGTGTTTTTTCAATATTTTCAAATCGTTTTGGTTTCTTTGGGGCGAATGTCAGGTTTTCTCATCCATTTTCCGTGTATTAATTGTTACCGGCGTTTTCAGGAGAATTTTGAGGCTTTTATTGTGATGATTATTGCCAATGCATTTCAGGGGCCGTGAATTCTACATGAAAGTTGGCTTGTCGTGGTCTTTTGATTGGTTATTGATTGGTGATTGGTTATCGTTTTCTTTTTCAAACTCGCTGATTGATGATTGGAGATCGACTCCAAAATCTATCCATCCATCCATTTTCAACACCGCTTATCCTGAACAGGATCGCGGGGAGTTGCCGGAGCCTATTCCAGCTGACCTCAGGCGGAAGGCAGACTACACCCTGATCGCCAATCAGTCACAGGGCACACATAGAGACAAACAATCATTCACACCCACATACACATCGTCACTGAGTGGCACACAAGTCAGGCGAGTGTACCAAGACACCATCAGCGACTACTCCAAAATCCTGACCGTGTAAAGCCTGGTTTACTGTGTATCAAACTCCTCTGTACCGTGACACAACAGTTCAGACATAAAGCAACTCAAAAAGACAGGGAAAAAAAAAACCCAAATGATAAATGCTTTGCCCACTCCTGGCGTGTAGTGACTGTGTTGCAAAATGATGGATGCTCACTCTCACCGACTCCTCGAGGACGCTCACTATCCCGCGGCGACACCCCACCTTTACTCGTCTACTCCACCGTCACGCCTGCAACCTTTTCCTCCCAAGCCCTCGACTCCTCTCTCCCATTGCCACACCACGTCTCCTCATCCCTCTCTGTCGTCCTTTCCCCCTCTTTCCTCCTGTGCCATAAAACAATAAGTCTTGAATGTCTGCGAGGAGGCCCGCGCTAATGGAGCCCATTAGGCCCCCCGTAATGAAATATACATTACACCATTACAGAGGACTGCAGCGCTCAAATAATAAAACATGCACAATTCAATTTCCTCCTCGGACCGTCGTAAGTGTCTTTCAGCGAGTGTGTGTGCATGCGCACGCGTTTGTGTGTGTGTGTGTGTGTGTGTGTGTGTGTGTGTGTGTGTGTGTGTGTGTGTGTGTGTGTGTGTGTGTGTGTGTGTGTGTGTGTGTGTGTGCGTGTAAAGATGGAGGGACAGCGGGAGAAGGTAAACAGTTTGTGTAACACACACACACTCACAGTTTTGAAGCATGTCTGAGTGCTAAGAGGCCTGAGCATTTAATATGAGTTGACCAGAAGAACCGCACCTGCCACGTATCTAACTGCGTCGAGAAAAAGGGGTGGCAAAGCTTTGTGAGACAGTAAAACATAAAGCTGACAAAATGTATAAAAAAACAAAACAAATTTTTAATGTAAGAGTTTATCTTTAGTCATCTTGGCAAAAGTGGTCGCAACAAACAGATCTTTGCTGGTCTATGGGCTGCCATAGAAATGGCAAATCTACGAACTGTGGTACATTTTGAAGTTTGTAAAAAAAATATCCAAGCTGATGGAAGGTGAAGGGAGTGGAGTTCCCCATGCTGGCGAAGTTAGCGCTTTCCCTGAACCCTTTTGGGGACAGCGGTCACTACAGCGGACAGCTTATCATGTTATCAGGTTATCATTATTGGTGCACGAAAGGGTTAAACTTGGGAAAATGCGTTTTAGCATCTTGTCATCAGGATGTTTTTTCACTTGTTGACAAGCGAAGAGTTATAAGGGAGGATATCAGCAGTTAAGAGGTTTAGCTCTTAAGTCTCAGGTTCGTGTTTGCTCAGTTTTTTTTAAACTACAAAATATTTCATTGTTAAGAGGCTAAACTAATGAGGAGCTCAATGGAATTACATCTCTTCCCTGTAATAATGCGCGTTATCGTATATTAGGAACATTTCCTCTGAGGTTTTGTATTCAGAGGTCCATCTACAACGACCCCCTTTGAAACTAATAGCCATGAACGTGAGGCAGCCATGTCAATCAATCGACCCCCCGACACAGCAAAATTGAAGCATCTGTTACTTTTCAAAGTGTGGGTGGGGTGGGGGGGCTTTGGATGGTCATCATGTTACACCTTATTAAAAAAGGTCTAATGACATAATGGTGCACAGCAAGCCCGGTCATGCTTTTAAAAGATAAACAATTGGGGATGGCCCTCCGAAATCCACCTATTTAGTTTGAGCTTGTTGTAGAGATCAAAAACAAGAATAGGAGTGAAGCGGAATGTTTTGTTATCTTTAAAAAAAAAAAATGAAGATAAATATTGCAAGACTGGATAAACGCAGACGTAGATTGTAGGCTTGCAGAAATTGAATGGAGCGAGGTTCCCCCGGCTGGCAAATAGACTTTAGCACATCGCTACGACTGCACCACCTCAGCGGTATTAGCGACTTGACACGTCGGCGAGCTTTTACTTCATCAAGAAGAGTCCAAAGTGGTTTCGCTCTGAGCCTCAGGTTCTTATTTTGTCTCTTCGGCCTTTTCAAGGTTGAATTTTTGCATGTAACTTCAATTTTGTTTCTTAAGGAATTTGTGATTTCAGGTATAAATGAGGAAACACGAAAATAAATAAGTAGTAGTAATCAAATAAATACAAAAATGAGAACAATTACGACAATTAATTAAATATAGAATATAATAAATTACACATAAACACTAAATTAAATAAATGACAATTACTTGCCAAATGATTTCCGTGCTCATCTAATAATTACACTGGTCAAGACATGTTTTTAATCGGAGATGCAAGTAAACTTCTCTAGTTTCTATTTTGTGTTGATGCCGAATCTGCCCTTATTTTTTCTCCAGCACGTCAGATTTTAATATGATTATTATTGTTAATAATAATACCGTCATACAATATATTATATAATATATAAAAACATGTATTAAGGGATAGGTGGATTCTGAACCAGGTGGATTTTTTTTCTGCAACGTCATAGCTATAAATTAAAGTGCCGAAAAAGTAGTTGCCCCTTCCTGATTTATGTGTTCTTTGCATATTTATCACACGCAAAGATTTCAGTTCATCAAACCAATTTTAATATCACACAGAGACAACCCAAGGAAATACAAAATGCAGAAATCAGGAAGGGGCCAAATACTTTTCCACGGCACCCGTACTTGGTCAAATACGTGTTGCACAAGCTTTATCGGTCAAATTTCAAAACAAAATATGAAAATATCTCAAAGCCCGGATGTGCTACAAAAAAAGTAAAGACATTTTTGAACTTGTGTCAAAAATAATGTTCAGGGACTCATAAAGCCTCTCCGATAAAAATTTGCTGTTGACCAATGTTATTTCTTTCAGCGCACTTTGTTGGGAGAGCGTTTAGATACTTTCTGCATGTAAGGGGCAAAATAATGGAGTAATGAAATAGAAATAAAATTCATCAAAATATATACAATTTAAAATATAAACAGCTTTTTTTTTATATTAATGTCATTCAATAAATAAATGATAAGTTACTTTGCCAATATTCACCCAAGGAAATTTGTCGGAATGTCCATCCTTTATCAACCTTTCTTGTGGGCCAACACCGAAAGATGAAATGGTGTTAGTCAATGAGCGTGTGTTGGCGTGTGTATGTGCGCGTGTATCTGTGTGTGTGTGCAGGAGGAGCTAATTAATGGAGAGGAAGCGGTAACGGCGTCATTTGGGCTCCATATTGCATGGAGCCAAATCCTCCCCAAAAAACAGCAACCTTCATACAGTTTCATATTTACATGGAAAAGCTCCAAGAAGCATTCCCTGTTGAAATGAGTCACTCAGCAAAGCGTTCCAAAAGGATCTTTTCCCTTTTTTTTTTTCAGGAAAGATGAGAAGGGAAATATTGGAAGGAGGTGTTTGGGGATTCTTCTTTTCTTTTTTTTTTTTTTGGATTGCCTTTAAAAGTTGTTTTCACATCCTGTACAGTGACACCTTGTGTTTTCCTCCGCGTTCATCCGAGTATATCCAAATAGACGGGCGAGGCTTTGGCCAGGTTGAGGAGCAGGCCGTGGATCTCTTTAATGTTGAGTCTCATGTGGGGCTCTCTTTGCCAGCAGCCCAGCATAAGGTTGTAGACCTCTTTGGGGCAGGTCCTGGGGCGCTGCAGCACCCTGCCCTGGGTGATGCACTCGATCACCTAGAGAAAGTTGGGGTGCGGGGGTGGGAGGGAGTCGACAAACATGGGAGATGAACACTCGCTGAAAGTGATGGGAGCATGGGCTTCACCTCGCGGCGCAGGATTGGCATTAAAAAAAAAAAGTCAGCATCTATGAATTATTAACCCGCATGATGAAGTCGGGCGCAATCGGAACTGACAAGCACACGGATCCGACGTCACTTTTTGGCGCCTGTAGGAGATCAAAAATCTTCAAAGATGCTTTGAAATCAGACACTCCATTCAGTAAGGCTACGCTGTCTAATTCAAGAGATGTATGAAACAATTTCTCCATTTGGCACATATTGTTCAATGAATGCTGCAATTCTCTGACAGTGTCAATCAAAAATGAGCATTGTCAGCAATTTTGTTTCAGCTCTTGTTTTGGATCGCTGTGTGCCGATTAAGTGCACATCCAGTGAACCCTTTATACGGTGTGCATCCAAAATGGAATTGCGGGCAAGAGGAAAAGATTTATGATGAAAACAATGGATAACCAAAAGGCAGTGTAAATGAAGGCAATCATGCTTTGACTACTGCCTTAAGGTAATTTAAAACAATTTCAAAAATGGAATGATCAAAATATATTGTAAATCATGAAATGATTATGATAAAATATGAAGCCGTGATAAATACATACACTTCACCATCATTAAAATGACCAAAAATAAAATCATAAAAAACTCTATAATCATAAAATATCCTCCATCCATCCATTATCCAAGCCACGTATCCTCACGAGGGTGGTGGGCATCCTGGAGCCCATCCCAGCAGTCTTCGGGCAATAGGTGGGGTACACCCTGATAAGCCGTGATAAATACATATACTTCACCATCATTAAAATGACAAAAAATAAAATTATAAAAAAACTATAATCATAAAATATCATCCATCCAGCCATTATCCAAGCCACGTATCCTCACAAGGGTGGTGGGCATCCTGGAGCCCATCACAGCAGTCTTCGGGCAATAGGTGGGGTACACCCTGAACTGGTTGCCAGCTAATCACCGGGCACACATAGACGAACGACCATTCGTGTGTGTGTGTGTGTGTGTGTGTGTGTGTGTGTGTGTGTGTGTGTGTGTGTGTGTGTGTGTGTGTGTGTGTGTGTGTGTGTGTGTGTGTGTCATAAAATATCATCCATCCAGCCATTATCCAAGCCACGTATCCTCACAAGGGTGGTGGGCATCCTGGAGCCCATCACAGCAGTCTTCGGGCAATAGGTGGGGTACACCCTGAACTGCTTGCCAGCTAATCACAGGGCACACATAGACGAACGACCATTCGTGCTCCCAATCACACTGAGGGACAATTTAGAATGTTCCATTAACCTGCCATGCATGTATTTGGAATGTGGGAGGAAACCGGAGTGCCCGGAGAAAACCCACGTTACTTGCCCGGATGAATATCCACTTTTTTGCCTGCCTGTGTGTGTGTGTGTGTGTGTGTGTGTGTGTGTGTGTGTGTGTGTGTGTGTGTGTGTGTGTGTGAGGAGCACAAGTCTAGTGTTATTTTTCTCGAAGATGTGACTGTTGTGTCGTCAGTTGACCATTGCGCCAGACAAACGTTAACTAACACAACCTCATCACTTCCTGAGCAGATCCCTTTCAGGTCAGGAGTTGAAAGGATGGAAGGTGGAGGCCGAAAGGTTAAACATGGATGTAACCAGAGTGACTTGGAGAGGCAGGAAAATGATGAGAGAGGTCAGAAATGTTAAAAGGCCAGGCTAAAGGGCTCGAGATGACAGCCTTTCCTCGAAACTGGGTCAGAGCCCGAGAAAAGGGAGATTTGTATGCGTATTAAATATTTAAAAGACCCCCAATGTGTGGTCATAAATTCAGCATGTGAGCTTTTTGGATGTCATCTTCAAATGCCCTTTCAAAGTCAAACGGTAACCAAAAAAACAAAAAACAAATGAATCCAAAATGGAAACAGGCAACTCTACAAAAGCACTGTTATGACATTGACATTGGACGGATTTGTTTTTTTAGAGCAAGAGAGTGAGGGAGTGAGAATGATAGAAAGAGAAAGACAGAAGCCTGTATGAGTTCATCGGGCTATATTTACTCGATATTAGCGTAAGTGCACCCATGTAAGCTGGCCAACAAGATATTGTGAACATTTAGGAAGAAATTGTACAAAAGCACTATTCTTCAGTTTGAATTGAACCAATAAGTGTGCCCGTACGACCTAATTTAAAAAAAAAAAAGTTGAAAGACTGGTACGTGCCAAGTTAACTAATGAAATACTGCTTACGTATAATGAGCACAAAACCACAAACATTACATTTGAACCCTTTTGGAGACAGCGGTTACTACAGTGGACAGCTTGGCATGTTATCAGGTTACAGGCTGCATGAAAGGGTTCAACTGAGCAATTTTCAAGGACAAGAAATTTAAAAATAAATAATAATTTAAAAAAACAAACAAACAAAAAAAACCACCTGGCCTGTTATCAGGTTACAGGCTGCATGAAAGGGTTCAATTGAGCAATTTTCAAGAACGACAAGAAATTTAAAAATAAAAATAATAATAAAAAACAAACAAACAAAAAAAATAACGACCTCTCTTCACCTGTGTGAACCAGACAACAAATTGTAACCTAAAATTAGCAGGAAAGCCTGTGTGAGCTAATCAGAATACAAAAGCACTATTCCGATGTTCAAAGTGGACTATTTCCCATCATAATTAGCATGTGTGCCGTTGTACAAACTTCTAAATATGTCACAATAATTGAGTTGGAAATGGCACAGCAGCAGTCTAAGTGGACTATTTCCCAAACAATTGGAAATTGTACCCAAACTCAAAGTTAATCAGGAAATTCGAACACAAAAATAGTAAACCATTGTACCAAAATAAATACGCTACCATTTAAGTGCGCGCTTGCCGGTGCTGACGAAACCATTCCAACAGCCAATGAATCCAAATCTTACAAAAACTGTTGTGTTTAAATGAGACTATTTCAGAGCAAAATTAGCATCTGTGCTCTTACCTCAAGAAGTTGTCATAACTTTTATTTATTTTAAAAATCCTCTTCTCCTATATAACTCAAATCACAATCATTGTTAGAAATGTCCACAAAAGCTTTTACATGTGAGAAACCAAATTATTTCCAGAAACATTAGCATAAGTGCACTAAGACATTCATACATTTATTCACATCATCAAAGCTAGCGGGCTTCCGTTTGGGCTTATTATTTTCAGAATATCCATCAGCTTCTTCAATCAACCGTCAAAATATTATCCGCAGTGGACTAATTACAGTTCATTACTTTTGGTCATATTTCCGATTCAAGTCTGCGGGGCAGTGATGACGAGATGGGAGTTAGAATGGCGCACTGTACCTCGTTATTGGAGAGCTGGTACCAGGGTTGTTTGCCGTAGGTGAAGATCTCCCAGAGGACCACACCCAGACTCCAGACATCGCTCTCCGTGGTGAACTTCCTGTACATGATGCTCTCAGGCGGCATCCAGCGGATTGGCAACATGGTGTGACCTCCCACCTAAGGGCACACGCACGCACACACACACACACACGCACGCACACAGCGTGCTGATGAGATGTGGAGGAAATTCAAATTTGCACAGCCATCAATTTAAATGTGAATCTATCAAGTGGATGAGTGCATTTTCAACAAGGCTGCAAAATGTTTCACTCCTCCAAAGTGCTTATTGACAATTTTAAGGAAGTGGAATTTGATGGGCTTCAGAATTATTGCAAAAACCTTGCACCCGATCCAAATTAAACTCACGTACATTTCAGGCAGGCTCAGGATGAGAATGCGAAAATGTTCTCGCAAAAAATGGAAGTGGAATATCATCCAAACCGGCAAATGATGTTCGAATAACAACAACTACGAATAACAACTGCAGGAAACTGCACAAAATAAATTTTCTACACATTTAAGTGTTCTTTTAGAGTTGAGTAAGAAATTGTACAAAAGCAAAATCTTATGCTTAACCCTTTCATGCCCCCTGTAACCTGATAACCTGATAAACTGTCCACTGTAGTGACCGGTGTACCCCCGAAAGGCTTAAACTGGATTAGTTTTGAGCAACATAAGCAGGTTTGTCCTGTACCTCCACAATGTGTGACCTGATTATAATTGGATTCTTGGTATTCCCTTGCATGTCCTCATAAAAGCAAATGCAGGAGCCAAATAACCAATTACAATTGTTTGTCGATGCCAGATTAACACCTAGTAGGCCCTCCCTATTTGTTGCCCCAACTATCCTGTGAAATGCATTTTCCCGCTAAGACCACACTAAAACGAAAACAGTCACTTAGTTTGAATCAGCCGAGTGACACCAACATTTATTATCAACGCAATTTTGATGAATACATGACTGGCAATAAAAGTATATTTCAATGAATCGAGCGATTGACGCATGCAGGTAAAAATTGGCTAGTTAAATGTGTAATTAAATAATCAAAGTGCGAGACAGTGACGCGTGCGGGCACGAGCATGTGAGTTTCATTGCAAAACATTTGCGTCAATAGCAGTTTAATTGGGTTGTCTCAGGTTAGCAGTGTAAATAATCCAATTATGATTTATCGTCATAACCAACAGCGGCGTCAGCAAGCCGAGAGCAGCAATCAGCGGCTAATCACATACTCCGAGGGACTCAAACTCTTTTCATTAAAAATCACAAATGAGCGTTTGGAGAACATCTTTGCTCCGTGAGGGCGACTGTCACACAGTCGCACTTGCCCTTATTAAACTAGGGATGGGCATAATAATTGCTCAAAAGTTTTGTCAATCGCACTTGTCCTCATCAGGGTCACTGGCGCGTTTGCGTGATGGTCTTGATTCTGTGTGTGCTCTTACAAAATTGGACGAAAACATGTTACCTCATCCCAGGTTGACCTCCTCAACAGAGTGTCACATTATTAGCATGAAACTGTACAACACTTGAATTAAGCAACTGCCCGGGAAACAAAAAAATGCAAGCTCATCAACACATGCAAATAATACAAAATCCTCTTCACATATTCTCCTGTCCAAGAGCATGCATTACAGCTGCTCCTGCACAGGACAGGCTTTGTAGCAATCAAGAGTGGAGTGCCTCCATACCCCATTCTGCAGGTGCGCCATAATAGAGGAAGGAGAGAGTTTGGAGGAGGAGCCACCGAAGGCCTTGATGAGGTTATGTGTTGCATATGTGTGATTATATGAGTGTGTACGCGTGAGTCTGTGTCTTTTGTCCCAGCGGCACACCAACACGTCTCGTTGCCATTTTGTACCGTATTGGCCCTGATTATAAGACGACCCCCTCTTTTTCAAGACTCAAGTTTGAAAAAAGACTTTTTGAACACCAAATTAATTTTTCTACAGAAAATAATTACAGTACATCTGAAACAAATGATTCTAACCATATATTTGAGAGAAAAAGCATGTTATTTTGCCTCATTCAAATCTTAATACTGTATCTGAACATTTTAATATGTAAACTAAAGAGCAATCACATTCGTAAATGAATGACTTCTGGTTTTTGAAATGGAAATTACATCATAACTTCTCCTCAGCTACCGGTTAACCTGGCCGATCTTCGACCCACTTTTCTCCAGGTTGTCGCTACGTTTCTCCATTTTCTGTTATCTCTTCTATTATTTTCTTCTCTTTTCTTTCTTACCGCTATTTTTTAATTTTTCTTCTTCGTGCTACCGCTATTTTTAATTTTATTCTTTGTGACAGGGGTTCACTTTGGCCTGGGGAGTCAAGTTCAGCATTCGCTTCAATGATATCTGGCGCCATCTAGCGTCGTGAATGGGTATAATGTCTAGACCCCAAATATAAGACGACCCCCAGTCTTATTTCAATGCAAAAAACACCGTCTTATATTCGGGCCAATACGGTAATATTGCGACATGACAGAGGTTGTACTATGAGGTGGATGAGGTCACGCAAGTCCTCACTGAAGGCCCAGGTCCGAAATGCACCGCCCACCACTGTTATGTGCTTTATTCGAAATGGAATAATATTTTATAGTCTCCGCAATACACGTTTTAATGTATTATATAGCCTATCAACACGGAGGGTATGAAACAGTTTATTTATTTTAGTGTGCGCTATATGACGATGTAGCTCGAGTCTTTCTCCTTCTTCAACCGGCACAAAAGTGAATTAAATCTTGTCTCGTATCAGGCTTCTCCTCCATTGCTCTCCGTGAGCATGAATCTCGCCGGCAGTCCTCGCTCCGTCGCACCCCGCCGATAGGACAGTCCATTTTCCGAGGTTTATGTCCGTTATTAATGGCCTGCGCGCCGCATTTGGCCCGTTTCTGTGCTAGTCAGCGGCTTATTTAATGGCGTCATAAAATGTAGACGGTCACATAGATAGCCATCAGGTTCTGCCTCCATCTCTGGAGCGCTAAGTCTTCACAAGCAAACCTTTCTTCTTCTTCTCTTGTCAAGTCTGCTTTTTTTTTCCTCATCTCAATGTAGCGCTTTTTTTTTTTTTTTAATGCTTCTCCCCCCTCCTTGGTTTACTTCTGCGGGCAGTCTAGCTAACCACTGTATAGCTTGGACGCCATTGTGCAGATAATATACTCTATCTTTTCTTGATCTTGGGATACCATCGGAATAAATTGTTGTGTTTCATCGTGGAGCTCAAACATGCTTGTCTTCTTCTTGCTCTCAAACATCATTTATTCACTTATGTGTCTCAACCTGGTCATACCCATTAGATGTTTTGTTTTATTCATCATGGCTGCTCATTTTCCCTGAAGATCTGAAATATTTATAACTCAAGTGCTCAGCCACCTCGTTTGATTGTTTGTTACGCCTGTGTTTGGTTTCAATCTTTTGTTTGTATGTTACCAGCATTACAACAAGCTGATTTCCGGTCAACTTCAATGAGGGGTGTGGCCTCCGGCCACTAAAGAGACCATTATACTTTGGTGCCGATCCAGTACTTTTTTTTTTTTTTAATGCATCATACAATATCAGGAAAACTCCAATGTAATGGATGACAGTAACACCAGCAACATGTGCGCCAGCTAAATCTTTTGTTCTTGGTCTGAGGCATCATGTGTTGATTCTGATCATTTGGGGGGGAAATTAAGAAATGGCAAAATTTGGTTTTACTGTTGCCAAAGGTAAAGAGCATCACGGAGTAGTGGTTAGCATGTCTGCCTCACAGTTCTGAGGCTCTGGGTTTGAATCTTGGCTCATGCCCCCCTCCCCCATCCCAAAACATGATGTGTGGTGCATTCAAGACTCCAAATTGCCCATAGATGCGAGTGTGAGTGTGGCTGAATTGTTTAGCTATCGGTGCCCTACAATGGATGAATGGTTGTTTCCAAGGGTAACTCTGCAATGTACAGCAGAGATAACCTGATTGGTTTTGCATGAGGATGTGCGAAATTAGTATTACACATTCACCCCATATGTGAAAGATTTCATATGAGTATTTCAACCGTAAAATGAAATCCAAACAAAAACATTTGAATTAAATAAAGAATGGTAACCAAAGCGCATAGCCTTGGCTCCCCTCTTGGCCCACCAACGTCCTACTAAGTGGTTGCTGGCGCTTCCTCTTCTTCTTTTGTACTAAAACGCAAAACAGTAATTACAAATTTGACAACTATTGCAATGTTGTTTACTGATTATGTCGCATTTTTAAGACCTTCGAACAGTGGATGTGGGGATTAAGTGTCATTTGGAGGATGAGAGAGACTTAATTAAGCCTTAATTATGCTAAATTAAATCAGGATCCACAAACGCATTGTATTCTACTATTTGTGTGTATGCCGTTTCGGCTCATCTTTAAGTTTTTTTAAAATTGGACCGAGGGTGACAAAGTACCGTATTTTCCGCATGATAAGGTGCTTCGGAATATAAGGCCATTCAATGAATGGCCTATTTCAAAACTGTTTTCATATTTAGAGCGCACCGCATTATAAGGTGCATAGAATAGAAGCTACAATAGTGGCTGCGGTTGCATTATGGATCCACTAGATGGAGCTATCCTAAAGGGAATACAATACAATGCAATACAATACAATATAATACAATACAGTACAGCTAAACGTTGACTACAAATAGCATCTTTGTTCATCAATCTATGCTAGCGGCACACAGCACAGTAACAGCCAGAACAATTAAAAGCTCTTCCACGAGATGACAGAAAATCCATTGAAGCTGTGTCTCCACCTGTTGCCATTCATTCAACACAAGTCATGGGGTCATGGCTCCCTGCGAGTCTAGCTGCTTTGTATTCCACTAAACTGGCCCAGACTACACACTGACTACCGGTAAGTCCGATCGGGCATAAATTGAAATGAGACTCTCATTATTTCAGTGTGTTTGTAGCATATTTGTTAAGTGATGTGCCCTGTGCCGCACGTGAACTGAGCCGTTGCTTTCAAACTAATATGCGTATCGCTATCATACCCTGATTTTTGGCCGAGCATTAAACCCCACTATTGCTCTCTCTATTATGCCCGATCTAGCCGTATATCTATCTTCTCTGCACTCTATCGTCCATCCATCATTGATCCATCTTTGCTGTTGTTTCTACAAATCAATCTATACATCCATTATGAGTCCTACATTTCTGACATTGGTGTCTCTCCCTCTCTCCTCTCCCTCCCTCTCGTCGCCTTCCCGTCTGTCTCTCTCCCGGCCTCATGAATATGCATCTTTACAGCCAGGCGGTCGCCTAAATTTTCCGGGCATGACTCGAGTAAAAAGGGAGGGGTCAAGAACAGCAGCGGAGGAGATTTTTGCCACTCAACGGTGACCACTGGAACATCTATGGCAACACGGCCAGTAAAAAAAAAAAAAAAAAAAAAAAATGTGGGTGTGGCTTAAGTGATCAAATCTACCCAATCCTTGATACACAGAAACGTTAATTGGCCTCGGTGTTTCCATGGAAACAAAAACTTTTTTTTTTAAATTTCTTTTTTTTTAACGCGCCTTTGTGTATGTGTGTGGTTTTTTTCTTTTTCTCATGAGATGGAAATAAGTTGCTCTCCTGATGCATTCAATTAATATATTGTGATTACTCTACCGGAGTACTCATGGGCAAAAAAAAAAAAAAGAATTTTACATAACAGCCAGCTTAGATTAAATACGCAATTTTAATGAGCGTAAATCCCCTAATTAAAAACTACCCACACACAATTATCACACGGTAGATAAAACAGCAAACAAAATAAAATTAATCTCTGTAAGCTTTGTAAAATGTTTGCTTAACACGTGTTTAAGCGTATCGTCCTGGTGTTTATGTGTCATGTGTCTGACAGCTGTGTGCGCTCTTCTTTGGGGGGGATAAGTGTGGTTCTCCTTCCACTCAGCTTCTTCATTAAGATGCTCTTTGTTTGCTTTGAATAGAAACAAATAAATAATAATAATAAAAAAAGGGCTCTGTATGTGCTTTGTTCCCAGGAAAAAGCAATACAACCAAATCAGTTCATTTTATTGCTCATATTTATGCGTGATGACGTTCAGGGAGAAAAAGCATCCGAATTGCATTTGCGCTAGTTCAAATAAAACCACCATAAACCCCCTAAAAGTGGAGCAAGTTAAAATAAGACGACCATAAATCCCCCAAAAGTTGAGGTAAATTTCAATATGTTATGCATGTTGAAAAGTTTGATATTAGAGTCCCGTAAATTATTTTAAAAATTGTTCTGGTTTAAACAATAGTACCACATATCCCCCAAAAGTTACACTGGTAAGACTATCATAAATCTCCGTCCCCACATTGTGAATCTTCAAATGATACTACTGCAAATCTCCTAAAAGTTTTGTTGCTTTTTCTGGGTAAAATAAGAATAGCCTAAAGCCAACAAAAGCTGTGCTGGAAAAATGACAAGTGTTTGCCAAAACCATCAAATACGAGTTCTTGATTTGTACAGAGAGGCATCTGGGTCTGCCTGGGGAGCGTTAGGAGCACCTGGCTGGAAAATATGGAAAAAAAAAAAGGTTTGAAAGGGGAGCCCAGGAATAAATCCGAGAATGGAGGCATCCAAAGCGTCTGCCAGCTTTTTGTGTGTAAGCGGATGCTGTGACGTTAAAACAGCTTCGTCAGTCCTACGCTTTGCTTCTATTTCCTCCCAAACACACACACACACACACACACACACACACACACACATACACACACACACACACACACACACACACACACACACACACACACACACACACACTAAGGTAGGAGGCTGATTCTTTTATGAGTCATCTTGGCTTCTTTCTGACGTAAGCTCATGAGTGAACACGCTTACCCACCCACCCATGCACACACGCGCACACACACACACACACACACACACACACACACGTCCTGCTGACTCGCCTGGATGCCAAACCACGATTAAATTTTCGCACCTCTTCTTGCGTCCCCGTGCTTTGTGTCATTTACGAGAGATGCAATCATTTTTGTTTTTTTGCTCTGTTCTGATGCGTTTCTCTCCAGCTGCACTGTACATTTCCCCGTGTGATTCTTTATCCTTCGATCACTGACTTCTTTCTCAGCTGGGGCATATTTATTTGGAGCTTGCTTTCATCCCCTCTGGTATCCAACACTTTGGTCTCCTTCGCTCTCACTTGCGGTTGAACCCCCCCCCCCACACACACACACACACACGCACACACACCACCCTCCCCCGCCATCTCCAGCGCTGCTTCAAGCATACTAAACACAAGTTCCCTGATTACTTTTCTTCCCGAGAAAACGTTGGATACAACTCAGCGGCTCACCGGCGCTGCCTTTGTGCGTTGCCATGGCGACAGCCTCAGCACACTTAGCTCTATTGAAGAGAAGAGGGGATGTGAGGCGAGTAGTGGAACACAAGGGGGTTGGGGGAAATTTGCGGGGAACGATCGTTTGCCGTCACAGTGTGCAAAAGAAAGCCAGAGGGGAATCTTCGTATTTGCACATCACCTTTCATTCCGCACAATACTGACATTCCTTATTGAATTTAATTGGGACAACATTTAGACAATTTAAAAGGGGAATTTCCACACGGAATGGCTGTGTAAGTTGTGTATTCGGATCTCCTGTTGTTAAGGGCACATTTATTTACACAGATGAAAATAGCTGCGTTTCAATTAATTAGTTAGGCAGTCTCAATGATTGTCATTGAGTAAAAGTCATTATTATTCCTCCTCATACGTCATAGTGAATGAATACTGTATAAAGAACACACTACACTAAAAACACACTACATTGGGCTTGCACTTCTGTCAATTCTTCCCGTCCAATTGCAGTTAACTGGGGCATGTGAGGACATTGGAAACAGATCTTCCTGTGATGCGGGGAAATTTTACGACAACTACAAACTGCAAGCAGAATAATAAATGTACAATGGACCCAGTATATTACGGTCGGGCAGTCAAGTATGCGGCTATTCTCGATTTTTTTTTTTTTTTAATGCAAACTATTCTCCTTTCGTCATCGAAACTCTCATCCATTTGCATTTTTTCCTATGACGAGACCCCCCCCCAAAAAAAAGTCGAATGTTTTCTTTTTATTATTTTTGTGGCAAAAAATACTGTCTACAGTGTGTATGACATTTTATTGGCATGTCACTTTGATTCGGGACAACCCACAGTTATTATTGGCTGCAAACGCACCATAAAGAGCGTCAGTTACTCATGGTAAGTTTCGAGGTAGGTGAATTTTTAAAATTTTTATTTGATAAAAAAAAAAACAAGTAGCCGTTTCTGTCAAGTTAAATCACTCACGTTCAAATAAAAAGAATGACCGATGTTAAGTTGAAAAAAACTTTAGGTTTAATGAACCCTTTCAAGGACAGCGGTAACGAGAGTGGACAGCGATTCAAATGTCGTTTTCTCTAATATGAATTAATCTTAATGTCACAGATGTGCATCAACCACAAAAAATGGATGCTTATGTGTGTTGCCATCCACTGCCATTATTTTTTTTTCATGCCTACAGAATAAATAAAAACACTTGAGAAAAAAAATCCTGATGTAGCTTAGCATTTTTGTGCATGGAAGGGTTGAAATTAACTTTATTCTCAGACATCACTGTTAAAATGTGTACTTCTAATTCACTATTGACAAAACTGGTTGTCAGTTTAATGCTATGTTTGTTGGCATCTGTGGAATGTAACTAGCAAGTAATCACCCATGCCCATGCTGGTCTGGGGGAGCAAAAGGGGGCCTCATGCATCATGGAGGGTGGGGGGAGTGGGGCCAAACGGTATAAAAGCAATGAAGTTGGACACATACACCTACCCTGTAGTAGTCAGTGCTGTAGACGTCTCTGGACATGCCAAAGTCTCCGATTTTCACCAGCAGGTTTTCGCCCACCAAGCAGTTCCTGTTGACAAAACACGTCAGCCGAGAAACACGGCGTGCCAGGATAGTCAGGTATTGATTTAACGCGCGGAAATCGCAGTGTAACTTTTTACATTTGGTTCAACTGCAGATTGAGCTGCGTTTTATGGATTAGCTGTGGCGTCCGGCTTCAATTCGGGAAACAACTACAGTACATACTGAACATTTTAAAGGACAAGAAAAAGTCCGATTTTGTGCAGGCCTGGGATGACAATTCATTTCCATCCATCCAATTTTCTAGACTGTGTTTCCTCATTTACTATGCCTGTTGAAATTCAAACAAATGGTCTGATTTTAATCCATTTTAAAACAGACTGTTCCTCACGATCCAACTAAATCCTACTTTTGAAAATCACATGCTCATTGCGGAACTGTCAGACCACCATAGGAGATAATAGTTTATTACAACAGATCGGGCATCTCCTAGGATTACAAACAAAAACATTGTTGGTCCTACTACAGGTAACATTAAAACAGGAACATTTGCTACAATGAATGATTTTGTTGTTTATAATAGGAAAAGCGTGCGTATTTATGACAATTACTATTGAAGCACATTGAACGGGGATTATTTTTGGTATTAGTATTTGCTAAGAATTCTGTATTATCACATGTAATTTGAGAGAGTATCGCTATGTAGGTTAGCATTTGTTGAAAGAATTATCGTATAATATTTTGAAATAGGCTGGTTTACTCGCTACGATTCTAGTTTCAAACCTTATTTCATGGCAATGCTTGGGTTAGAGCACAGGCGTCAAAGTCAAGGCCCGAGGGCCAGATCCGGCCCGCCACATCATTTTATGTGGCCCGCAGGAGCAAATCATGTGTGTCAACTTTCATGATCCTTGCTGAAATCTGTACTGAAATGTCAAATTGTCATGGGTAATACATAACATTGAGATTTTGCATCGGCCCTCTGAGGGAAGCCATAACTCCGAAGTGGCCCACGACATAAAATGAATTTGACACCCCTGGGCTGGAGGATGATAAGTGCAATTATGGGACTTATTGAATTTATTAAAATGATTGGCTTGAAGACACGTTGAAATAAAATGCTGCTGAATTTGGAGTTCTGAAGTAAATTCACTCTCTTGTGCTTTGATTTAAATCAAACAAACCTAGCGAGGGCGGTCAGTATTTTTATGCCTTCATTGGGCCTATTAATGGATCGTGTGTTATACAGTCATGACATAAGTGACAAACCTGGTGGCCAGGTCGCGGTGCACAAAGTGTTGTGACGCCAAGTAGACCATTCCGGACGCTATCTGCTGGGCGATGTGCAACATTTGCGACTGAGTCAGCTCCACTGGTCTGGTGGTCTGGCCTTCTGCCATCAGAACTGCATCCGGACCGTGAGCCCTAAATGGGGGAGCATGTGGAGAAGCCTGTTAAGGTTTGTCCTGTCCTTCATGTTCTCTAATGCTTGTGGTGGACAAAATTATTACTGTAGGGCACATGGAAGGTTAAGCAGAAGGAAATTTTGAGTTGTTCCCTTCCCTGCAGCATAACAACATCCAATTTGTTGGGAATTGATTGGAGAATGCTGCGATGTTAACCCATTCATGCATCCTGTAACCTGATAACATGATAGGCTGTCCACTGTAGTAACCGCTGTCCCTGAAAGGGTTAAAGTGCACTCACGAGTGGCAATATGCTGCTTCACTGGGTTCTGTGAAAAAGGTACAAGTGCACACACGCCAGGTCTTGTCTTGCAACCATTTTGTGGTATCCATTTGTGAAAGAGGCTGTGCACAGTGTGCATCACTTCAATCTGGAAAAAAATTGACGATCCTTGCCTGAGAAACTTGTTGAGGTCTCCGTGTTTCATGTACTCGAACACCATGATGAGGGGTTCGCTCTCCACGCACACACCGTAGAAGGTGACGATGTGCTCGTGCTGGAGGTTGGTCAGGAGCTCAGCCTCGCGGTGGAAATCCTTGCGAGCATTTTCGCTGGCCTCTTTAAGTGTCTGACACAAACAGAAAAGCGCAGACACGCGCACGCACGCATGGTGACATTTTATTCAACTGACAAATGGAAAAACATTCTGCCACACTTACAAAGATCAATTAGTCATGTCTACTGAATGGAGAGGAAAAAAAAAATTCTCCCGCCCTGTAGAAGTGAGTTACGGTCAATGAGACCTAGCACGGATTGATTACGAGAAGAAATGACTGCGGGCGGCGACAAATAGTTGAGAGTTGTGCTCAATGTGAGTATACAGAGTATCGGGATCAGAGTTATGCCTGTGGAGCGCCTAGGATTGTTTTCAGAGTAGGATGGATGGAAAAGGTCAAAAGTCATGTAAAATGGCCGCTTCAACAAAAATGGCTGGCTTTCGGTGTTTTGTTTTTTTTTTTGTTTTGGGGTTTTTTTTTGGACCTTTAGACATCTTGTCATTGATAGTCATTACGTGGAGAGCGTCTCCAATATCCAGTTACAAGGCGGACACGTTGAGGATGATCTGACCTGGTGTGCCATCACCAAAGCTGCCTCAGAAACAACAACAGAAATTGTTTGCATTCTCTTACCGATGCTCCATTAAGAGCTTCCTAATATAATGCATCTACGTGGGGTTTGCGAGCTGCAGGGTGGCAGAGAGGAAAACATTTCAATGGGTTGTCACCTCAGCCCAGAGGATGACTTGCAGCTGTCTTTTTTTTTTTTTTTTTTTTTTTTTTGCTGCACAAGAACAACAGCGTACCTCATCCTGGATACTTTTAGACTTATGTTCCAGGACCTTTGGAGAAAGCATGTTTAGCTTTGTTCTACCTGTTACAATGCGAGTAAAGTAATTTTTAAGCTTATTTTTATGATGCTAAGTAAAACTGGCTTCAAGGGTTGAATTCTAAAAACACATCATCAGTCACTCACCAACGGGATTCGTTTTCAACTATGGGAAAACCGTCAAAATGTTTTGTTTCTTGTTTGTTTTTTTTTAAGCCCAAGAATAATTACAGTGAAGAAATAAAGCAATTTGAAAAAGGTCTGCATACTCAGACCCTCCTATTTGCGGATTACATTCCCATCTTCGCTCGAATCCAATCTGTCATCATTCCCATCAGCCACGGTTACATAACACATGTGTTTGTGACAGATTGAAAACGTCGACTGTCATAAGCGAGACACAGGAAATGAAAATGATACCGGCTATGTATGCATCTCGACTCGGAGCAAGGAAAAATATATGCAATCACTTTTGCCCTCCATGAATAATAGATAGTCTTGCTACTGTAAATGCCGTGCATATATGTTCCCCTTTCCACAAAGAAAGAAACAAAAGCTCTGGTTACAAATATAGGTCCGGGGCACAAGGACAAGTTGCTAAAAAGGCTCAGAGGGGGCGGGAAAAAAATGACACGATGACCTCGTGGCAGCTGGAATGCTGAGATGCCAGAAAATGAGATGGACCATAACCCCGCCTCCCACCTGTGATCAACCAATCCACTCTCACCCGAGACCATTATGGGCTGTAATGCGAAGTGTCTTGACAATGGAGATTATTACAGTACAAAAGATGGAAATATTGATGTTGATCTTATCTGGAAAATCTGAGAGTGGGCTGTCTAAAGTTTCCTTTGCAGTCCAAATCTTATTTTGGGGGCGCAGGGGGAGAATAAAATAATTTCTTGATGATGTTCTAATTCATTGTGATGCACTTGTATGCTTTATCTTGATTTTTTTTTTTTAAATATTTCAATCAGGATATGGCATTGAAGTTAAAAGGTAAGCAGAGCTGCAATCAGGGTAGGACAAGAGGTCCTTTAACACTATATGCCTTCAATGTTTGATAATTAAAGTTTCATTTCCATTTTGATTCTTTCCTGTGGAGCAAAATGTTGACACAAATTTTAACCTTCAAGGTTCCACTGTAAAATAAACACAATACTAAATGTATTCATGTAATAACGGCCTTTTTGTTTTTCCAATTTCACCCCGCGGATTTCTTAATTAATAACCAAATTGAGCTCACGTTTCATGATGAGAAATCTTGAACAGCAGCTCGAAAACCGCTAATGTGCTTTGCATTGAGAGCATAAAACATTCATGAAAGTGTAAAACATGATTTATTAAATAGCGTGGCGTTTGCCGGCTGCATTTGTGTATTTATTTCTATATCGAATCGGTCCAACGAGACCCGGGTAATGATGCAGCGAAAAGAAAAATAGAGGACAGAAAAATCTGATTTTATTAATCTCCATTTGTGTAAACGTTGACTGCTCTACTGGGGGTCAGCCCCTGACGTGGTCAGGCGCAGGCACCCGCAGCGGCTCCTCTCTCTCCTGTGGTTGTATGTTGCACATGTAGCACATTTGACAATAAAGTTGACTTGACTTAGTCACGGTGTGAAACGAGAAGTGAACTAAGTCTTTGCTGCAGGTAGACAATAATAGTATACGAGTGCGGGACGGTGCAAAATTAATCGTCATGACAACGCGAGGTGACAGCAATCAAATGTGATGACTCCCTGAATGCATCGTCTGAGCCTCCATGCGCTGGGTCCAATGAATACAAGTAATGCACGCGTGGTGCATTTGGCTCCCACGGCAAATAAAAACAATCAACATCCGCGGGCTGGGGGGGGGCGGGGCGGGGATGTAGCAACTCACATTTACATGTGTTGGAGGAAGCATTATTGAAAGAGTTCATGATTGATGATCCGCAGTTGGGGAAGCCTGCGTGTGTATGTGTGTGTGTGTGTGTGTGTGTGTGTGTGTGTGTGTGTGTGTGTGTGTGTGTGTGTGCGTGTGTGTGTGTGTGTGTGTGTGTGCGTGTGTGTGTGCGTGTGTGTGCGTGTAAATCTGTATGCTGTTAAAGAGAGCCAGTGATCAATGCCACCAAGCAGTATATACAGTACAGTATAATACAGTACAAGTCAAACTTGCCTTGGCGTTATGGGCCAGTGACTGATTGATAGCCAAGCCTTACACTAAGTCAGGATCATTAGCTCTGCTGGAGCGCGTATGTTATTGTGACGTGCACGTGTTTCTGTAGTGTAGCGTACATGACAGAGCGTCGGGGTAATTTGGGTGTTTATTAAACGCAAAGATTATGCAGCGAAGGTTAATGTGAAGATGTGATGAAGTTCCTGTCACTATGGAGATTTTAAAGCCACATTGTCACCCAGCTATTCGCTGAACAAACGAGCAATTCATGTTTCATGTGATCTTTCTGAAACGCCCGAACCAGCCACAAGATGGTACCAGATACCTGTCCAAATAGGAAAATAGTAAAATAATTAGTCCAAAGGAGTATGATGAGGTGATACAGAAAGGAAGTAAGTTTAGCCTGGGTTGTTTCGGAGAGTCTTTGCCACATGTGCTTGTACAACCGGTTTGAGGGTGCACTTTTTAAAAATCAAATCATCTTTTTGCCAAAACTATTTTCCCTCCAATAGTGGCCTACGCTCTGATAAACGCCAAGCCCCAAATAATCACTAGGTATGGCATCCACTCTCATAAACACCTTGCCCCAATGAATCATTGGGTGTGTTCTGCACAAAGAGAAATAGTGTTGCTTTACAGATCTTCCAGTTTGTAATTTAATGCCTAATTAAGAAAAAGAAAAAAAAAACAAAACAAACACATTCCCTCCCTGTATCACAGACAAAAAAAAAAAATGTTGCTTCAAGGAACCTCTGGAATGTGACTGGATTGCTGATTAGCATCCAGCCAGATCAAACAGAATAAAATACTTTGTTTCTTCAAATGAAGACCTCCTCTCTATTAATGCCCCAATTACAGCAGGTGCATCATCAAGAAAAAAAAAAGTGTTGCTGTAAGGTGTCTCCCAGTCCGTGATGTAATGGCTCATGAGCATACAACCCGAAATAATCATGTAAAGTAACACATTTCCTCAAATAGCAGCCTTCGTTCTAATACAGACTTTGACTCTATTAACTATTGGGTGAGTCATATGCACATGGGGGAAGAACCAAGTTTTCTGGTGGTGTTGCTACTTGGCATTAATAGACACTTTAGTACCTTCTGCAGTTGAGTCAATACATTCTGTATTGTATTTCATTTCCACGGTACGCTACGATCCGACAGATGGTAGAAATACAGTACTACGAGCACCTGACGTCACATTTCAACGTAAAAACGATTTATTTGATTGACAATTACATATGTTGGTTGAAGCCATTTCATTTATTTCCGACAGCCTCGTTTAATGTGCCAATAGTTGATGCAGCAAAAAGGGAGGAGGAGGAGGAGGAGGAGGAGGAACCCTGGTGAGAAATGGTGACTCAGCATTCCAGCAGAGGGAGGAGGGGGGAGAGAGAGAGAGAGAGAGAGAGAGAGAGAGAGAGAGAGAGAGAAAACGTGCTACATTAACTAATTGGAAAAAAAAAACTCAGTGGAGTCCAATCAATGGACTGACTGTAATTATGAATGCACATTAGTGAAGCAGCAGCTTTAAGAGTACAACCTGAGGTACACGTGTACAATCTTAGTACTGTATAATCAAAATTTCCTCATTGAAATGAATCAAAATGCGTTTAATCTTTTCTGCCCCCCGCCCAAAAATCCACGATTAATAATCAAGAATAATAATAAAATTAATTATAAGACTGGTAAACTAAACCAAAAAAAAGCATTTTCGAAAAACAAAACCTAATAAAATTAACTTACCCGTTCCAATTACTAATTGAACCTAACTGAATTTAAACAACACAAGTTAAAATGAAATTAAAAAACCAACTATAGTAACACTGCTAGAGACTAAAATTTTGGCTAGCAACAACAAAGTAGGGCACTGACCGTGCAAACACTCGCACCTCAAAAAACTTGTACATGAAGATTCCACTAGTATCGTGCTGCTGCCAAAACACAACAATTTGCTATTGTGACAGAAGAAGTAAAGGTAATGCAGATGAAGAGAAAGTGGAGCATGTGAACTATACTTGGGGGTTGGGGGGAGGGGGGGTCTCTTACAGGTCATGTATTGTTAATGACAAGTCTTCCTCAGTCAGATTGAGTTTCACATCCCCGATGGAGAGATGGATGAATACATGAGGATTTGCTGGTGGAGGCTAACTGGCTCAATTCGACTCGGAAGTCTGCGGCTTAGGTTCGAATTCGACGGATTGCTGGCGACAAAATGCCGAGTGAGGAAGTGAACTGCGAGACCAGACGAAGACTGGGTTGGAAAATGAAGAATGACTATTTAACTATTTATACCTGAAGTGGCATTTATATATATATATATATATATATATATAGAGAGAGACACACACAATGAACCACTGGTGAAAAAAAAATCCCATGTTTGCTCTTTTTTGGGGTAAATTATCAGATTAAGTTTAAGTGAGTAGAGGAGTTTCATTTGGAAAAAAAAGTAAACCCTTTGCCACCATTCGCTTGGGATTTTCCTGCAGCAAGTTGATAGACTAAAAGCGCATTATGACTTTTCGAGCAAAGGAAGTATTTGTGTGACATACATTGAACGTCCAGATTTCTCAGGAGACTGCATGTTGGATTCAGTGCAGTCAACTGCTTAATATTCCCGAACATGCTGCGGCGATGCAGTTCTGCGGCAAAAATATTGCCGCGCTCACAATAACTTCCCCCGTCGATAACAACGTTACTGGCTTTATTTGTGTACAAAGAGTCGGCTTCAATTGCCAGCTTGATTTGACATGCAGATCTCTTCGATTCCGGCGCAGTCAGGGCAATAAAGAGAATGGATGGTTGGCAGGACTGAATATTAAACGTAAGACAAGCAATCCAGCTTTAAATTCAATTTACTCTATGTCATTGATGTTACCTTGACAGCCACCAGTATCTTCTCCTGGTCAGGCGACAAGTTGTAACATTCGGCGAGGAAGACTTTGCCAAAGGCTCCCTCTCCCAGTTCCCTTTTCAGCACGATGTTGTGTCTCTTGATGTGGTGGACGACTAGAGGAGGAGGATAAAGAAAGTCCTCTTAGTCAAAAATAGCGTGAGCACGGAAACCTAAATCACAGACAGAAGAGTGTCGATGACTGAATGTTACGTTGCGTCTTCTTCAGACAGCGTTTTTGTAGTAGAATGACACTCCAATGTTTCAAAGCCCCCAAAATCCATCCATTTTTATCATGCCCATCATTATTCCAAACATTGGGAAAGGTATTATTGTATCACATTTGGGGAGTCTTTTTGTGTGTGCGTGTGTTATCCTTCACTGCCTTCTGCTCGCCTACAGCTGAATCACTTGGCAAACCCGCTTTGTTGCTTGGCAACCTGTGACTCCACGTCAGATCATTTTGAGAACCTTTAACATCTCACCGTGATGATGTGTGTTTCCCTTTATTCTGCACAGCCCTGAAGAACGTGGCAATGTACCGCGTACAGTCGGATGTGGAACTGCCTGCTTGCGTGTGAACACATCCCTGCATACACACGCGCGATGAGATATATCTATGATGTGATTAGGAAGCGCATTTGAAGAAAAGCTGTCCACTCAGAATATCACATTAAGATCCGACCGGTCCCTTAGAGGCTGCATCGATTTACACCGAGGGCGAATGAGAGCGAGAATGAGAGAAGCCCCTTAAACTGTCTGCAAAAATCACAATTTTAGAAGCGTTTTTACATCTGATGTCATCTAATGATCTAAAGCGGGGTAAGCACATCTAGTTTTCAAACTTGGCCGTTATCTCAGTAGACCGAGGAGGAAAAAAAAACAAACTTTTTTAAAACATCCTACACCATATGATAATCACTCAGGATAATCTTTGAGAGAAAGCCAAGAGTCGATGATTGCAAGTGAGGGGAAACTCAAATTTGACTGTCGGTATGTGTGTGAAAGAGGCTTTTGAAAATGATATAAGAGACAGCGAATAGGGGCAATGTTGAGTGAAAGTTGACATCTATGAAAGGTGAAGTTCATTTAGGATAGAAGAAGCCACGTGCAAAAGGCAAAATAAAATAACTTGCTTTTCATTGGACGTTCTTGATTGTCATTCTTAGCATACGCTGCATGGTAGCAGGCAGTGGCGCAATAGCGCCACAAATTTAAAGATGTGCAAACATCCTCAAGCGGTGTCTACACATCACCGAGTTCACAATGCGAGATGTTGATTCAAGAGAAGTGCGAAGCTTGGAGTCTTCATGTGGCTCAGTGCTTATTGCTTAATAGTGCGGAGAGGCAATCAGCTGGTTAAACGGTTGGGGTGGTGGCCTAGCTGGCGGCTAAGTGGATGTGTTGGTGTCTTTATTTCAAAACTGGCAACATGGCTGAAGGTTTTTCTTCGATAGGAGAATAAAAACGGATGCTTGTGAGAATAGTGAGAAAGAGCGCGTGAGGTATGCTAGGTGAAGCGAGGTGCAGTGTGCACAAATACCAATAAGCTAGTCGAATTTGAGCATTCCAACCAGCCTTCTGATCAAAGTCACCAACGGCTCGATTATGACACATTCCTGAAAGATTATCTTGAGTGATTGTCTTTGTGGTGTGGGATACATCATGAGTAAATTTCCTCCCTAGTCTGCTCGGAAAACAGTCGGGGTCAACGATCACAAATGTTGTACGATGGTACCTCTACTTATGAAATTAATTGGTTCTGGAAGAAATGCCTTCACTAGAAAATGTTGTAAGTAGAGCCGTGTTTTCCATGTAAATGCCCTAATTCGTTCCAAGCTCCCCAGAATTCAGACATAAATTTTTCCTAAAGTATAAAAATGCATCAAAACATGAAACAAATACATGTTACAATTAGATTATTGCACAATAAATGAGAGTTGCGCATAATGTAAAAAAGAAATAAAGAATAAAAATGATGGTCATTTAACTTTTTTGTTTTTTTTGCCTTCTTTAGTCCATGTTCTCTCTCAGATGTGGTTTTTGCTTGGCGTTTTGTAAAGAACTGATCCAAGGATGTTTGCTTTCTAAACCACACACTCATGTACAGTATATTTGTACCACTTTTCATTCAGGGAGTTCAATTATCTCTTAAACCTTTTTGTATTGACATTGAATATTTAGCTTTAAATGTTTTGCCTCTTTTCTAGTGCTCGAAACGCATAATACCCAATTATTAACCATTCCTTTGCGGTAAAACGGATAAAACTGGATGTAGACATGTAAACTTGAGCCTCTTTGCGACAGAGATCCTGTAAAATTGCCACATCAGAGCTGGAAGAGAACATTCATCTTCCTTTGCCTTTTGCAAGTAACCCAGCAAAAGCACACAGCAGAAAAATGGTGGCTTTTACAGGCAGTGTAAAAGGTGCTGTTGCGTCACACTCTGTCTTTATGGAAGATCTCTGTTGGCCCCGTTGTTTACTCCCTCTTGCTTTTTAATTCACATTCCTCCCCCTTCCATCATTTGCACCCTGCCACATTATCTCACTCATTCTTCAACTCCAGCAGTCTAATTGCGTCAGTTGTTTTTCTGTTTGCGGCAATGTCTAAAAGCGCCCGCTCTGTCATTTCCCATCAAGCACCCTAGACTTTTTCAATTTTTTTGCCTGCTCCCTTTACAATATGTGGCCATCTGCGCACTCGCACAGAGACACACTCCCCACACACACACACCTTTCACCCGCCTTCATCAACATCTTATTTCCTGAATCGCCTTCCGCAATCTCTCTTCCAAATCTTTCCACGACCCGACCTGAAATAAAAACCGCACATAAAAGCTATATCAACTAAATTGGATGGCTGCTCTTTGCCTGTGCAACACAATAACATACAGCGGAAGGCTCCAAATGTGCGACAGTTTGGAATTCAACCATGACTTCCTGGAGAACTACCGTGTGTCTCAGAAGTCGAACCTTGTCATTTAATTGGGAACATTTAATTATTGTATTTTTCAGATGATAAGGTGCACTTAAACTTCTTTATTTTTCTGAAAAGTCGACAGTGCGCCTTGTAATGCTTTTCAGTTGGTCGTCTTGAATTCAAATTCCTTCCGATTATGTTTGCATTTTCATTCTCATCCTCATCTCATCGCTAGCAGGCATCTATATGTTTTCGTCATACCGCAACTACGACTATTTCCTGCTTCTGTGTCTAAGAATCATGGGAAATGTAGTACCGCAAGCCCTAATGTAAGCGATTTCTATATGGGACAATATCATTGCGGTCTGTGAGGTCAAGAAGGAAATAAATACAAATTCCTTCCTATTCACTTTAACAGTCATGTTCGCGTTCGCACTCATCCGCATCGAATTGCTAGCAGGCGTCGAATATCTTATCTATCACGCGTGCGCTGCACCTCTGGCCACCCCCTCACTGAGGTGTTGTCACTCTGGCCACCCTACTGTAACATTTCCAGCTAGGCCCCTGCATCGCATCCACAGGAAAGTAACTGTAAACCTTGAGTGTTTCCATACATTGACTCATGCCACATCATCGTTGTCGAGTCAGGTGTTGTTAATGTTAATGAGGCATTTACAGCATATCAGCATAGTGTCTGATCAAATACATTTCTCACTTGCCACGTTTAAGTGCATTATACTGCAGCCTCATCAAAGCTGCTGACAAAAAAAAAAAAAGGTCCATATGCACCACAATCAAACCGTCAGTAAGCGCCCTGTTTATTACTTTTAATGGCTGTATTATACACAAAACATGCACACACAATATTGACCGGCATTGATCTGGCTGCTTTTATTATTCTCTCATGTCGTAAATCCTACTGTATTGCTCGCTTGTGTTGCAGGCCTTAAGAGGTCAATCCCCCATTTACCATTATTATATAAACACCCCCCCCCACCCCTACAACCCCCACCCCACTCCACCTCTCTTAGCTAATTTGCTACACAAGGTCGCAGCCTGAAAGAGCTTTTATGACTTGCCAATAATCATAATGTCACATTGATGGAACAGGTCAATAACGGAGCGTGTCCGCGCGCGTGCGTGCGTGTTTTCATGCTCATGTTGTTTGGCTTTATGATTCTAGTAACCGGTGAGTGTGAACCAATCACTAGTACCAGGTAAGTTACGTTACATTTTTATGAACGGGAACGTTGCCTAGCGCCTGCTCATATGTGCATTCCTTATTTCTAATCATCCCGCAGAACAGACACTGGCTGATACTCCACAAGGTCATTGCAATGACAGGAGCCGCTATTTCACCACAGCAACCTAGAAACAACGTTCACAGTTAATTTAAGCGCTGCCGCTCGTGTAAAAAGCCATCTCTCTCTGCACCACAGAATTTACCTGCTCATGAACATGGGGTTTGTCAGTTGAGGACAGGGATGTCCACATTTTTTTCCAACTGAATTTTTTTTTTTTTTTACATTTTTACTCGCAACAGGCTAAAACCAATACATCAATAAATTATCTCATTCCATTTACAGTGCCATGAAAAAAAGTTGCCGATATCTGTGTTCTTTGCATATTTATCACACACTGCATGTAATTTCTTGGGTAGTCACTGTGTGATATTAAAATTGGTTTGATGACTTGAAACCTTTGTATGTCATAAATATACAGAGAACACAGAAATCAGGAAGGGGGCAAATATTATTCCACAGCACTGTACATACAATATAACCATAATATCAGTGGCCACTTCCTGAAATGGCAAGGAACTTTCAGTCAACGAATTTGGAGTTATTATCTTGGTCTCGTAGGGTCAAAATGTGAACAGCATGATGAATTGGACTGTTTAAATACCAATTCTATTTGAAACAGCATATGCGTAGAGATTCATGAATCAAACTTTGGTGGTAAATTTTGCCATTCAGCTCCTTGTTGGAGAACAGCAAATTGTGCAAAAAGTACTGCAACAACGAATCACGCATTTTAAGATCATCCTGAAATTTTACTTGAAAGCTGAGTATCTCGAACTTTTTCTGACTAGGTTATGTTGTAGTTATTTGGAAAAACTGCTGCATCGCAACTTTCTGATACAGGTGATGAGGCAAATAGTAAAAGATGTGTCAAATGGACCACTAAAAAAAATGTGCGGCGGGGTCAAGCTTTGGACACAATCGGTTTAGGGGTTGGTCTCGGTATGCTACTTACAGGTGTCTGTCTTGAGCAAGCTGTTGGAGCTCCTGAAGTATTGTGGGTTCTCGATGACGGGGATCTTCGTCATGCCGATGATTACGGCGTCGGGGCCCATCTCAGAGGAGGATGGCGTGTTACTGCCGTTGGAGACGTGGTGGAGGGGCGAGGCAGAGTCGTCGTCGTTGCTGATGACCGAGGACGGTCCTGAAAGAGAACGGAGACAAGCGGATCGTATCTTTATGAGGATGGCGTGCCGAACCACACACACAGCATATGGCCGCCACAGCCACTCTAATTGTGTAAGGTGCACGGGAGACTTTATTAGGTTGTTAAGTTGTTATTAGCCAAGATGGAGGAGATGAAGACTTAAGGAGAGGCACTTAAGTTATGTTATTGATCCAAACAGGCTCCTGTAGGGAAGCGAAATGTTTGTCACTCAAAATGTCCCAACACCTGTTGGGTAGATTCATCCCGTGTGACGTTCGATGAATGACTGGACTCGAAATAAATAATTGCATTTCATCAAATAGCGATGTTTATTTTTAAAATTCTGTTAATTTTAATTGGTCTTTAGAGCAAGTCTGTTTGTTTTTAATGACACTGGTCAACAAATATTTACTCTTTTTTTTTTGTATACGAGAGATGCAAGTAAACTAAGCAAAAAATTTAAATACGGTATGTGAAAAACCTGATGTACTCCGAAAAACAATTCATGAAGGAACACATGCAGCCATCTCTGATTAAAATTTGCTGTCAAAAAAAAAAATGCTTCATTTTAGTTTTGGTGTAAGTTTGAGTTTTTTTAATATATGGCGTATTTGGCAAGTGCAAGATATAAGAAAGAAAGTATTGTGTCGTAAAGTAAACTATAATTCTCAAACAATTTACCTTTTTCTGCAGCTAAAGGTGTACAGCAATATCTAATAAACCCCAAGACCTCATGTAAGATATAAGACGAAAACGAAAACGAAGGACGTTTGGGATAATTCCAGTTCGTTTTGGTTAGTTTTATCAACAGAAGGTGTAGTTTCAGGTGGTTTTGGCTTTTTTGGAAAAAAAAAAGTTTTTTTTTTTTTTTCAATTCTAATCTTGGTTATTTCATTAGTTTTCGTTAACTAAAATAACCTTCCCCCACACTCAACACCCAGCAGGCATTCAAAGCTAAAACGCAGCGTGAACTTGAAGAAAGACTGCGAAAGTGACAAGATGCAACAGCGAGCGAGCGAGTCTTCCCCTGCGATGGAGGGGGAAATGGGTTTGTTTTGGCAACAGCGTGCAGGTGTCATTAGCATGTAATTAAGACAGTGAAAACAGAAACTTTGTATCTTCGTGCACCGTCACGATATTGTTGCCAAGTTTGTGTGCGAGTAGCGCGAGCCTACGAACAACATCGCAAAATTGGCAGCGGGGAGAAAATTCATCTGAGTTTGGGTCACGTCACAGACAGAGAAAAATTATTCAAACACACAAACACACATCCATATTTAAAACATCAGCATGGCTCAAGGCCAGTGCATTATGAGCGGGGATTGATTTCCCATGAGCATAAAATGACAATGGATGTCTTTCCTCTCATGCGGCCGCTTCAAATGAATTTTAACATCCAGCTGCAGCCAAGGGGACGTGGCCGAGAATAAAGCGTGTGTTTGGGTGTGTGTTGTGCGGTCCAAGCTTGACCAGCTGGCGTGGACGTGCGCATGTCGATGACTCGTGGGGATTGACGAAGCCTCGATAGGGGAGCAGAATGAAAATAGCCCAGCGGTAGATGTTTTTATAGAAAAGCTGTGTCTTGTTGCAGTTGTTGTCATGCTGGAAGTCCATTCGCCTATTTTGTATGGACGCTTTTCATACAGAACAGCGACACAGTGGGGGGAAAAAAAGGTGAAAACTGCCAGCTTTTGCCAGCTGCTGGCTTAAAGAAGAGAAATGGTATACTTTAAGGCCACTTTGATCAAATTTAAGACCTCTCACTTAATGAATATGACCACAGGGAGTGGGCGACATAGACTCAATCGTTTATAACATGATTATGCACTATATTAAATACCTAATTGATATATCTATAAAATGAGTGCGAACGTTTTCACAACCTTTGCATGATGACTTTGTAAAAACCGGTGTAACTTGATTGTCGTGCAAGTGCAGGCCTCCTTTTGCGAGAATGGGAATTTGGCAGACTGTCCCGTGCTGGGTGTTACGGAAGACGTTTTTTACACTCCCCCAGGGCACCTGACACTTTGATGGCTGGCAAAAAGCGAATCGTTAAGCCAGCTAAAAGGAGGTCTAAATTGTGGCGCAAGGTAATCGAACGTGAGTTTGGTGCATTTGAACGAGATGCAGGCAGAAGGACTCTGAGCTCCATGGATGTGTGTGTTGGATAGCATTGTATTTCATTCAGAAATGTGACAAAAGTGCGCAACGAACCCTCTGAATCATCATTGTAGAAATCAATTGATTTTGTTTTATTATCATGTTTCATATCTTTCAAAACGCACCTTCCGGCCATCTAGACCGGACACATGAATTTAAAGGGAATGAGAGGAGCCGCTTCCTTTAGCCAGAAAGAAAGTTAGATGTGTTAATTCTCACAACGGCGCAAACGCCCGTCTCTAATGAACAGCGATGGAAATACCACAAGAAAGTAAACTCCAGGGCCCTAATTTTTATTTCAGAAATAATTATGGACTTTAAGTTTTGGAGAGCAAGACTTCCGTGACCATCGTGGCATTATTAGTGCTTCTGTGTGGGTCTGTGAGCTAAATTGTATTCAAAATTTGTATTATAGAAAACTGGGAAACCTGAAATTTCAGACCGCCAACTCAAAAAAGACCTGTTAATTCTATTACGAGTTTCTCCTTCCATCCTTGGACCCAATTTGACACTTCACCCGCAACCAAAATTTTCCCCCAAATGCAGAAAACTGATGTCACAGAAGACATAAGAGAAAATGACAAACCCTGAACTTAACTGCGCATCAGTTGTGCAATTGGCGATATGTCAGAGTGCCTGCAATGTTAAAACTCCTGAAGACCCACTTTGATCAAATTTAAGGCATCTCAACTAAATATGATAATTAGCCATGTGTGCTATTTAAAAAAAGTAATTGGAAAAAACATTTCATAAAAAAATCTGGATGGTCAATCAGAAATATTATTTTTAGATACTCCCCCCCAAAAAAAACCCAATTCTTGATAGTTCAGTTAATTCCGATTTCCGTTATACTAAGATGCAACTATATGTGTATTATATGCAAATATAATGATGTATTATTGTGTCTGAGGCACCGGTATTTTTAAAGTCTTTCAACGTTGGGTTTCAGGATTAAGGATCCTCGGATACCTTGCAAGTGCCAAAAGATAATAAAGGCCTTCGTTTTGGACAATCCAATTTCTCTCAAGGACGAAGAAGAAACACATTGTTCCTAATTCCTTCAAGAAACCTGGGCTGCTTGTTTATGTCTGCCGGCTAATTGCTCATTTGTTTAGCATTCTGAAGTTGCCTTTGTGTAACAAAAGGAAGGGGACACGCACACACGCACACGCGCACACACACACACACACACACACACGCACACGCACACGCACACTCACACTCACGTGCGGGATATTCTCTGTTGTGCATGTGCGTGTCTGTAGGAGGAGTTGAAGATCATTAACATACAGAGGTCTCGGGGTCAGATCATTATAAATGCGGTTAAGCCGAGGGGCAGAAGGAGGCTGTGTGTGTGTGTGTGTGTGTGTGTGTGTGTGTGTGTGTGTCTGAAGGCAGAGTGAGGTGGCGTCAGGTCCACTGGGGGTGACTTGGTCAAAAAAAAAAAATGAAGGAGAAGATGGAAGGGTGAGGTGAAAGTATAAGTGGGGTTAGGTTAATAGACATGGAAGCCATGTTTAAACTGGTCTGTCGGGTGGCGAATCCTCCACTTAAGTGTCAATAAATCATAAGCGGTCATGGCTGAAAGCTGGGTGGCGATTGCGTGTTAAAGTCAGACACACATCTTTTTTTTTTTTTTTACGTACGCCCTAAATGCAGCTTATGGGGTCAAAAGATGCTATCGTGGAAGCCAATGAACATGTTCCCGGAATGACTTATTCTCAACCTTCAAATGTTGAACAAGTCAGAGTGTACGAGAGTATGAATCAGCATTCCATCAGTTGAGGTGGGAGTAAATCACATCCTCGTCTCGAGTCTTCCAACGCCGCCTTTCAAAGCAAGTTCCAATTTACTGTGTCAAAAGTCAAGCTAGTCAACTCGAGTCCCCGTGAAGGTTCAAGCAAGTTGAGTCACGTCATCATGTGGGTTAAGCAAGTCGTAAGTCAAGCCCCTCAATCTTGAGTTGTGCATGACGAACTGAATGGGAGACATGGGGACCGAACTCAAACAGTTGAAACAAACAGTTTGGACAGTTTTCAAAAGCGGTTCCAATTCAAATATACTTTTAGTATTTACAAAAATACATTACTTGGTTTTTTTTTTCCCCCCATCGTGTTTGCATTTCAGGTACCGTATGGAACACTGTGACTGTCATCCAAAAGCCTGCGTTTTGTGTTTGCAACAGAGTTCAAATGGGATTTCTGTGCATTTCGAGCATAGCACAAAGTGAGTGCACTGAGTCAACATCAAAAGAAGGTGAGGATTTGGCAGGAGACGTTTATTTGTTCTCGTATTGAAGATATGCTTTCTGTTATTTTAAGGTAGTGTCAATAAAAACTAGATAGTCATCAGTGTTGTCCTGCATCCAGTGTCAATGGTTCAGGTGGCTGAGGTACTTTGCAAGACGCTGCTGTTTTGGCTAATAGTTCACTGTGTTATTTTATTTTATTCTACCTTTGTTGCAGAATAGAATAACACTGTTTGAAATCAATGAAAAAAAAAAGTTTTATGACTGGATAATTATCTTTGTTGCCAGTTACCAGCGCTTTGAAACTGACAATTTAAAAAGAAATGGTTGCCGGTCCGCAAACAGCACATACCTTGTCTCAACTGGTCCGTGACAAAAAAAAAAAAAGTTGGGCACCGCTGATTTCAAGGAGCCGTTTACTTGTAGTGTGTTCGTGGACACCTATTGAAGACATGACACCTGGTGGAGTAGAGGCCACTATGCGACATCAAATGTTTGAGTTACGTTCTTTAAATTTGGGATGCGTACTCTTCAAAATCAAAAGAATAATTCTCCATGTTCTTTACATTTCTCCATATGTATTCCA